AAGATTGTGGAGGAATAATTTAACACTTTTCTACTAATTACAAAAAAGCGGCTTGGCTGATCATTGTGCAAGTTATTCTTAATCGAATAAGATCAAATTCGGAGAAGTGTGCATGTGAATAGACTTTTCTACCTTTCTCGTAAACGGCTAGACCGATTTCAAAATTCAAAAGTAATACGTTGTATCTCAATAAAGACTTGCATTGATTAGTTAATCAACTAGTCCTTATTGAGACACAATGAATGGTTTTTAAATTTTAGAAATCGGTCCACGTGGACGAAAGATAGAAGAACCTGCTCATCTACACACTTACTTTTTCAGAATTTGATCTCATCCGAATTCAGAATAACTTGAATTGTCAAGAAACATAAAATTAGCAAATTGAATTTTTTGGTGAAACTGAAAACAAACTCTTTCAAACAATAAGTAAAATTTTCAAACAGTAAATTACAATTGGCTTCTGCCAGTAAAATTTGTTAAATACATTATTAATGCAAATTTATTACATAAGGGATGAAGTCGTTTTGATAGTTTATAATAATTGGGCAGTAAATAACCATGATTTTTATTAACACTTTATTATTAGCAATCAGAAAAGTACATAATTTTTATAAGCTAAACTGATAACTTAAGTAACGTGATTAAGATAATTTCCATTGAAATTGATTGATTTTGATAGACTTAATTTTAACTTGATTTGAGGTTTTCTGTCCAATCCATGAAAAATGTTATTATTTTAATTTTTGGACGAAACATAGAAAAATCTGCTTATCTACACACTTACTTTTCAGAATTGGATCTTATTCGATTCAGAATGGCTTGAAACGTCAAGAAAACATAAATTTGCAAGTGGATTTTTTGGTGAAAACAAACTCTTTCGAGATGTCAAAAAAAATACGTATTTGCTTGTTGTTTGCTTCAATAGATGAATTATAACATCCAGTATTTTAAGAAGATACTTAGTAGATTTAAAATTATTGTTATAGTAAATAACGTAAAACGAAAACTGAAACAAATCCGTTGTAGTTGTAGTTCCAATGCCCCAAAAAATGTATACCTTTATCTAGATAAAATTTATTCATTCATTATATCGATGTTTAAATTACCAATTTGTTCCCATCTCTAATTGCAGACCGTTTCCAATCGATTCTATATAATGCATAAATACTGAATTTCACTGTCTTGAATGAGCACTTTAAAAATTTTACCGTTTTCCGTTACAGAATTGGTCGGAGTTGGAAGTGAGGAGATGCAGCCAGAGACGGGATAATATCCATATCGCTGTACCGTTAAATTAACAAGAAAAAGTAATGATGGAATATATCAAATCTGCGAAGAGAGTGTCGCAAGAACAATATGAGTGTTTCAATCAAAAGCCGCTATCAGGCTGTGTCTCTTGAATTGACTAAGTGCGTGAAGTGCTTTTTAATTTTCAAGTGGGTGTGTGTCTAAGCAGTGTGAAAATGCCAAATGATACAGTGATATAATTTTCAGTATAAAATCCTAAATTGTTTCTATCGCGACGGGCCCGATTCTCAAGATGGTTCTAAATCTAACGACTCTGCTAGCGATCACGCTGATTGTGTTTACAGTAAATCTTTTGACGACTTCTGATGGAAAAAGATCTGAACAAGTTGCAGCGAATCAGGAGAGATATCATCATCAAGGTTTTAATCAGCATGCTGGACACCATCAAAATGGGCGATCTCACCATTCTGCAGGGTCTAAGAAGCATTCGCATTCGGGATCATCTGGCGCCGGTCCTTTTATACCACTGCCAAATGCGAAGGAGCGTAGGCCTAATATTATTTTGATCATGACGGATGATCAAGATGTCGAATTAGGTGAGTTGAAATAAAATGACATATAAGAATTTCTTGAAGCGATTGTTGCATGTAACGGTGAAATGAACAATCGTTAAGACTACATAAGAAATAACTTCTTTATGCAAAATACCAAAACTTCTTTGATATAATTTGAAAGTATTTTGAAGTTTATTGTGTAATATTTATATATGAATAATTTATATTTTTTATATATTTATTTCGGCCTAGAAATACAGCACATTACCTATTACCTTTAGTCTACATTGAATTAAGGGGGTTTCTGGTGTAGAAATTCAAAAAAGGCGATTTTTTTATTTTATATTTTCAAAGTTTAACTATCTAGGAATATGGGTACGAGAAGGTTTTTGAAGATTTGAATTATTGTTGGAGATATAGGCATTTTACTGACTCGGTCTCCATACTGGTTTGGCTTCACGCAAAAATTTAAATGCGTTTTTCTCAGAACAGACTTTTTCAGTACTGTTGACACGATTTTTCGAGTTCTACTCGACCAATTCACTTGAAAAGTTCAGAGAGTCTTGTTTATAGACCTATCTATAGCCCGAACTAGGGTTATACCAAAATTCCAATTTTTACTATTTTTAAAAATTTCGAGAAACTCAAAAAATCAGTAAAAAAAACACTTTTTTCAAACAGTCGCCAATTTGTACAAAAAATTTTTACTCATTGCTAGTTCGGGCGATTGCGACATCATTGTAGATTAATAATCTTTCTATTCCTTTAATTTCGGATGGCTTGGAGGGCTGAAATCATGTCAAGCCTGAGGTGCCAATTTTTTGTGACCCCCCACTTTATCAGCTGCCAGTTTCTTCAATTTTCAACTTTTTTTTTAATTTTTGTATTTTAATATTATTAATACACAAGTGATAAAAAATGGATAGTAAAAACATTCATTGCTTTCTTTTACGACACTTTAAAAATGACATAAAATTCATCGCTCTACACTAGAATACCCCCTTAAATTAATACCGATGATTTATATAAACAAAACACTTAATTATGGATCCTTAATAAACTTAGCATTCTAGACTGGTTTCCCGGTTAACTTCTTTTTACTTATATTATTATTATTATTTGAACAATGAGCAGAACTTATGAGTCTCTTAAACTGTTGACATAATTTGACTTAAATAACGATGTCGGTTTTATAGATGACAACCCAAACGGTTGTTCCGGGCTCTTTTCATTTTGAAACATATTACTATATACATTTCATGTATTTTTCTAGAAATTTTCCAATAAACCTTGAATTTTAGGAGTTTAAGTGGTAGCCTATCGTTGCCTATCGTTGCCTTTATGGTTTAACATACAAAATTATTATATATGGAAGAAAAAACAAGAATGTCTAAACGAATTTATTGAAGTCTAATACTTCATGCAAAGTCATGTGAAATTCAAAATTTGAATAATTGTATAGATTAATTTTACTACTGCTTGACATCAAGCTGACCGAGGTTGTAGTCAAACCCGCAACTAGTTTGTGCTTTGATCTTTTCATACGGTCAATTGTTTTACACCTGTCTAGAATTTTCTGAGTAATTTATATATGAATCCATAATATATATATATATATATATATATATTATATATAATTAAATATATGCTGAATTTTAATTTTGTTCAAAATATGTTACATAGGTTACATACATCTTTTTTTTTCAATGTTTTTTGGGTAAAAACAGCTTCTAGTGGAATCATAATATTTAAATAATTTTAAATCGCAAAAATTCGTATAATAATCAATTACCATGAGTTTGTGATCGGTTGTGATTTTTTTAATTTTTTCGTTATTCTCTTTCTCAGGTTCCTTGAATTTTATGCCTCGGACGTTGCGTGCGCTAAGAGACGGCGGCGTGCAGTTCCGGCACGCCTACACCACGACTCCCATGTGCTGCCCAAGCAGAAGTTCCATGCTGACGGGCATGTATGTCCACAATCATCAGGTGAGAGCTCGAAATATTTCGGACAAATAATTAGTAATAAATATAAGATTCAGATTTTATCACTGTTCTTCTCAGGGGGCGTCCATTAATCACGTGATCGATTTTTTAAAGAATGTTTGGACCCCCTCCTCTATGTGATACGTGGTGATATTCAAAATTATTCCCCTTCTCCCACGAAACATCACGTGAATTTTTAGTTATGAAAAAAATTGTAAAATTTTTGATTTTTTTGTTTATGAAAATGTTTGGATTTTTTTTAAATTCAGGTAAAAAATAAATACACGTGATATCTTACTATACCCCTCCCTTCCCCTAGTGATATTTTATGTTTTTTTATTAAACCCCACTTCCCTCTCCCTAAAAACCTCACGTGATTAATGTCGCCTCCTCATATACTTTACTAGAATAGAAATATATATATATATATATATATATATATATATATATATATATATTTTAATCACAATATTTATTACAACTGTTAAATGGTTAACATCTAGCAATATTGATGAATAATAACATAATTTTAAATAAATAAGAGTGCAAAGGATAGAATTTACATGAAAATAATATCCGTAGTATGATGATTTAATATAAAATAAAAGCAAATAATAATAAAAATAAAATTAATAAATAATATAAATAAAATTTCTGAATAATAAAATGATACTAGAAAAACAATAAAATATATAGTTTTTTAAATATATAGTATATACTAGCATTTATTTGCAAGTTGTATATATTGCATTAATAAATTACAAATAGCTTCTGCCAGCAATATTTGTTGCATTATTATTGCAAATTCACCACATAAAGGATGAAGTCATTTTAATAGTTTATAATAATCACACTGAAAATATCCAAGAAAAATGTTTCTTTTTTAATTTTTGGTTTTTATGTACGTAGTTATGAAATGTATTAAAACTCTCCTTCGATTAACTCAGGTTGTTGAGTTATAATTTAACTCTTGTAGCAGTGGACTGTGTTAAACACACATTTTGTCACTATTTGTCACTAAGTTATAATGAAAAAAGATATATTTATCTATCATTTACTATACATGTCGCGGACTTTATTTTAGAAGTGAACAATTAGTTCTATCAAAACACTCCTCTACCTCCTTTACCAGGGGTAGCAATCATTCCGTGTAAAAGCTCAATGCCATGAAGATTGTCATCTTCATGGTCAATATAATAAAACGAAAATACGTTCGAAGGAATTTCATTTAAATAATTAGAGAGATTACATAAATTTATATATTCCTAATAAAAAACGAACTTCTTTCTTTTAGTTATTTAATTTTATTAATTTTTTTTACTAGTTTATAATAACTAGGAGACTGGCATTTTGTTTTTACATCCAATTTTGTATCAATTTCTACTAATCTGAAAATGACAATGGTACATAATTTGCACTTGTTTATACTTGTTTATCTACGATGATTTGCTTCAATAAAATGCTTACTTCAATGCTATTATTTTAAAATATTTGTTTTTCAATGCTATCATTTATATTGGCAAGCATATAGCATCATCCAAAGAATGATTACAAATGAATTGCGGAAGAAATGCATCTTAAATAATAAACGAGGATAATATTTGTCTTTTTATATATAGTATACGGTATATTATTATATATGCTGTTCAATATACAGGAAATAACGCACCTTTAATTCAAAATATTGTTAATTATAATATTTAGTAAACGTATTAATTTTTAGTGTTTTTTATATTAATACTATTTTAATTCAATATTATTATTTCCCAAATTTCTAAAACGTCGAAATAATACTAAATAAAAATTAAATAAATTATACATAATATTCATTGTCGTCTAATCACTATCAATGGTTTTGTATTTTTAAAGTTACTTGACTACTTTTAGCAAATTCATTTAATAATTATTGCCCAATGAAAAATATTATCTATACAGAAAAACTTACTAATAGTGCTTATTTTTTATTTAAATCGGTTAAATTGTTGTAAAGATTACTATGATAACTATTAGATCTTATAAGCTAAAAGTTGTGATCAATAATAAGAAGTTCGCAAGCAAAATGAAATATATTTTCTTATTAAAAATAATTGAATTTAAAACAAGATAAAGTTTTCTTTACTGAAAATATATTTTAAAAATACAATGATATTAATTTCAGATCTGTGTACTTTATAATCTCTCTCAATAATACTATATCACACATCAAGAAATTAATACCATTTTTTATTTTATTACGTATTACATATAAAAAATACATACTTGATGTACTTATAATTATATAAATAATTTAAATATATTTCTATGTAATAGTTTATCTATATTTTATTAATATGTTATAATTTGGAACAAAAGTGTGCATAATAATTATATATTCAATGTTTCGTTTATCTTTTACAGCATAGAATTAGAGTTTTAACCTACTTTTGGCTTAATTTGCAATCTGCAGTAATACAACTGATTGTTACCTAAATCAGATAGAATTTGAACAATCGATTTGTTTCGAACTGGCGTAATAACGCTTCGATGACCTGGCACATAAACTTTTAATCGCATTTAAAGCAATTTACAATTCAAATTGAAAATCTGTCAGAGTTCAAATGTTTCAGTTTGTTCTCTAGTGCCTTCCAAAAATAGTATGAAGCAATCGAAGCATCCATTATATGGATTATTCTACTAATGGAATAGATTTCGATGACCTATTTTAGGTTTACTAATAATTAAAAATCTATATTATGTTTATTTTCTTTGCATCGCAGTAAAAAGCATTACTGGACGTAGTTCTTAGATTTTTTTTTGAAATTCTTAAACAAATATTTGATTTAATCTCAAAAGTCTTATGTAAATAGATGATCAATCAAATAAAAAAGTAGATACTTAGAAAAGTTGATATTACTTATTAACTTCCCGTAGAGCAAGTTATTGTAATCGTCCGAAAATCGAAATTAATTTTTTTTGCATATATTCACATTTTGAAGGTTTCTGAACATTTTGGCATGCCTCAGAAAAAATGGATGTGTGTATGTATATATGTATGGATACAATATTTTGTCCACGTTTTTGGGCGCACGGATCCACCGATTCGAATGGTTCAAAAAACATTCGATTCCTATTGATAGGGAGATATGCTGATTAGATTTTGCCAAAAACTTGAGAGATTTAGTTAGGTTATTTTGCGATTGTTACTTTTCATGACTTATATGTTAAAATAGATGAAAAAATGTATATAATTATATGTAAATTCTTGAATCGAATTATAACTTCATATTAAATTTCTTTCCAAATGGTTATCTATTGAATGCTTTTCGATCCTATATTAAACTTTAAAAGTTATTTTAGGATTGGTATATAAATAACTTATTTTAACATTGTTGCTCTAAATTGCTCCTTTTATATGTTAGCCAAATTTAAAAATAGACGAAAAATGCATATGATTCATTAAAAAGTCCTATGATTTACATTAATAGCATTTATTCATAGTTCCAAATGGACTGACTTTATCTTAAATTTTTTTATTATGCACTTTGTGCATCTCTTTTAGGTTATCATAGAATTATTAATTTTTATTACGTATGTTTATATTTTTAGTCATTTAAAAATAAATTCAAAAATAAATTTTCATTTATAGATATAGTTCTTCAGAAACCTTTAGTACCAGAAAATTCAACAGTATTTTAGAGTTTAAAATCAAACTTATTGTTAGTAAAACAAATTTAATTTTCTTAAATTACATATAGCAAATAATATAAAACATCGCATTTTCCACGGTTTCGTCCAGATACATAATTAATTTCATGCCTTCATCAAATCTCATACAGCAATTATTACGCATATCACGTATGCTAAAATATTGCTCTTGGCCACAAAAAAAAAAAAAAATATTAACAAAATTATCTTGAATAAATGAGAAGATCAGAGTTTAATAAGAGAATTTTATGCATGTACCATAAAACGCAAAAAACGAAAATCACTAATATTTAAGTATATTTATTATTGTTTTATAGGAAAGCAGAACTTCCAAAATTGCAATACTAAATATTATATTCTTTATTTTTTCATAAAGTTTTCATAGCCTTTGTTTACCATTTATTATATAAACGAGTGAATCATTAAATCGATCAACCCAAATTTAATTACATGCAACTTTCGAAATCAATAAAATCCCAGTTAGCACGTATGTTGTTTTCATAAATAATCTAATAGTTTTAAATAAACATTTCGCAAAAAGTATTACAGAATAGCACTAGAGCTATAAATTACTGCTTCGTAAATATTATAAAATCAATTCCCAGTTTTGTACCTTGTAATACTTTAATTTGCATTTTATATACGCTTGCTCACATGTTATCGTGTATATAAATTTCTAATATAACGATTTTTATGATATGCAGTATCGATATTGAATATGCTTCCATATCGGATTACAGAGGAGACTCTATAATCAAGAGTTGCCATCGTCGTTTTGCATAAAGTCCTTTATTTGCAGAATAATATTGAATAAATTAGTATCGTCAAGAAACTGAGTGATAATAATCAAATTACGACAAAGAATATTGGAGGGATATTCAGTTCTTATAAAAGAGTCGTAGAGTTTTTCGTATGCTGTCAACCGAAATGTGAAATGGTTATTTTTTTAAGTTTTTTTAGTCATATAAAAGCAAATGATACTCGCGAACAGGTTCTATATAACTATAAAAGCTCGAATTTATTTTGGGTGTGGGAATAAATTAAATACAAAAGAGGAAAAGCATTTATTTATTAAAATTGTGCAAAAACTGCATTAGTTATAATAAAACTATAATGTAATGATGACATATTTCACATAGTTTAAAACTTTCTTTAAGATTAATTGTTTATTTGTTTATCATCAATTGCCAGAATATCAGCAGTCCTTAAATAGTATCAGAACTATAATTGTTTTTGAAATTTATGCAAACTTATTTCTTTCATAGTCATTTAAAGTCATTAAAATTTAGTCATTTATTCATATCACATCACAAACTATCTTAAAATTATCTTGATTCATTAAAATTTATGAATTACTTAATTTTCTATGGGCCTAATTTTTGTTTTACATCCAAAAAATTGAAAAACAAAAAGTAAATAATTGTAACCCTCTATTTGCAAATGAAAAACATTATTTACATATAATTATAGATAGCAGTTACCCCAGTGGGTAATTACTATTAGATACAATATATTGGATTAAAGTAATTGGCCACAGTCTTCTAAATTCTGGTGCAAGAAGCAGTGGAGCAATGAGTTTATTAGGTTGACTTTATAATTTGTGTTGGCAATTAGTCGATCTTGTTTTTAAAACGTCTTTAATGTATAGCAAGTTTTATTGCTCACTTGCCATAGTGCACCTGTCATCATTCTAAGTATTTTAGATTAAGTTCTCTGTACCAATAATACATTTGACTTTGCTAGAGTATCTCCAAAACTTTATCCCACATGACCAACTAGGAATTATTATTGCTTTGTAAAGCAGGATTTTATTTTCAAGTGCTAATTTTGAATTATGTCCTATAAGCCAATATAGTTCCCTCATTCTGGATTTGATAGCTTTAATTTGATAGCTGTGATGGAGGTTATTTAAATTATAGGGTTATTGAAAAACGATCGTTTGGTTGATTTTTTGAAAAAATGTTGACTATTCAGTATAATTTATTTGTGCTAATAGCAATGTATGAATTGTCCATAATGGTAAGACCGAAATATACCAAGTTGACGAAGGGAACAACAATAATATTAATGCATAATTTTTAGAATTCTTAGCGTAGGTGACTTTTGTACCGATATTATAAATAGCAATTAAATCATTACAATTTAGATGAATTATCTCAATATTATAAATTTTGTCCAATTTCAGGTTTTCACCAACAACGACAACTGCAGCAGTCCACAGTGGCAGGCAAGTCACGAGACTCGCAGCTTCGCAACGTATCTCTCGAATGCTGGTTACAGAACTGGTAAATATTGAACAAAATATCTTTAAAAATCGACACACTTACAAATATTCTTTATGGAACATAAATGACAGCTTCTCGCCTTGCCCAATCTACATAGGTCAATAGCACGTGTCAGAGAAGCAGTTCAAGGTCCATGTTGTTGCATTTTATCAAAAGCTTCATATTTCGATTTCAATACTGTAATTGATTAGTTTCTCCTTGGTTACAATTTGTATGTTTACTGGGTCCCTTCGAACGGTTCTGATCTTTTTCTCACGTAGACAATGACCTTATTTCAACATACAGAATGTATTTTTTTCATATTTTGTTCTGTGATGATTATTCATAAATATGATAGTAATAAAGTAAATGACAAATAATTTAATATCAGATAACTTAAATCAGTGGTTTCCAACCTTTTTGAAATAATATCTCACCTTTCCCACTATCTCTGGATTAACACAAATTTTTCAAGACTAAGACTGGCCAAATCGGTTTAGCAGTTCTTGAGTTTTAGCACACCAAGAAGATTTCGAGTGAGAAATTTAGAAATAAAAGAATTATATAAATCAATTTTGCAAAAATTTATACAATTGGGCATTCTCTTAGGTAGAGGTTAGGTCTATGAGGTTTTAATCAGAAGTTTTAGGCTCGATACCCTACTCGGCGTCAGCTTGATGTCAAGCAGTGGTGACCTTATTTCAAACACGATCATACTCTTTACTTAAATGAATAATAAACGTGAAAGATTCATAACATATCAAAATTAGATTTTTAAAACAAGTTTCGAGTATGTAATTTGAAAATGTAGGTACGAATAACGTAAATCATTTTGCAACATATTTATATTCTTCATATCGTATATTTTTATACCACATGTATCTAAAAATATTTTTCAAATTCTCTGTAATTCAGATGCTAAAATAGTAGATGATATTACAGTTTCATCCATGATATTGCTTCTATCTGATTATTGCGTGCCTATAATTGCTAGGATGTAATTATTGCTATGATAAATAAAAGTCAATTACAT